TTTTTATTACTTAAAAGATTTCTTTTAAACTGTTTTTGTATTGGACAAAAAGGGAAATGCAGTAGATATTGGGAAAGATCATTCTATGTGTGTGTCTAGCTAATATCTTCAAATAATTAGAATAGTGTCTTCAGAAGGTGTATCTTTTTTCCCTAGAGACTTAAAGCTATCTGAAAGAGAATCTATGAATATTGTCAGACACTGTTTGTGGGGGGAAAATTAGCTATTGAAGGACAGAGAATCTAGCAAAAATTGGATTTAGTGTATTTTATTCCATACTCACGCCCTTTTTCAATCAGCCATTGAGTTTTTATTATAGCTTGCTTTGTATTATTCTTAAAAAATCACTGACAATTCTCTTGATTTCATATGAGATAACATAGAACATTTTTGTGATTAAGGCATTAATTTTAGCTTCCATTTTGTGCTAATTACTTACCTACTGACTCCATTCAATGTCACATTGGCTGAAACAATTAGAAAAATTTTACCAAAACTCTGAAAAATATTTGCACTCTATTTATATTGGAATGTCACTTGTAGGAATTTATTCTAAAGACTGCATCAGAAATAAATAAGTTATATGATCAACAAGGAGGGATTGAGTAAATGATTACTATTTAATTTATACTCTGTATAACATATTCTCATTAAAAATAATACAGTATAATAGTTATCATTAAATGCTAACTATACTACTAAAATCATCAGGTCATAAAATATTATATACAATATTTTTCCAATTTCAGGGGAAAGGCAAAAGAAAAATGATTGCTAATGTCTAGACCCAACGTTGAGCATATTTCTGAGTATAGAATTATGAGTGGTTATTTACTTTACTACTTTTTATCTTTTCAAATTTTTATAATAATGTACATGACTCAATGAAAGATATTAAAAAAGTTATCTTGTCTGTTAGCAATGTAACTCTAACATTAAAATTATAGGAGCAGAACATTTTTATTGAATACCTCTTTGTCAACAAGCAGTTTGAGAACAAATTTGTTTGTTTGTTTGTTTTTAATACAGAAATCCTAAATGGTGGAGTCTATGTAGATCAGAACAAATTCCTTTGTTATGCAGACACCATTCATTGGCAAGATATTGTCCGGAACCCATGGCCTTCCAACTTGACTCTGGTGTCAACAAATGGTAGCTCAGGATGTGAGTAGCATTATCTTTTTCAATGTATCGAAATTTTATTGTGCCTCATGTGAAGATGAATGTCATGTGTTTAAAATGCCAATAATGTTTTAAACTTTGCATCCATTGAAATGTTCAGATATAGGAGACACAACAAATGGCTGACCAATCTTTACTTCTGAGTCATTAGCTCTTGGGAATGATGTTTCCCTTTACAAGTTCTCATTGTCTTAACATGTTCTTCTTTGCGCATCCTAAATTGTTGTATCACATTTCCAAGTCCAAACATACACCCCTTGTCCGTAAACTTGGGCTGGTATCTGATCACTGCTTCAACCCTTGGTGAACTACACAGCAGAACAAAATTTACCTACCTATTACTATCATTTTTCAAATAAGAAAAAAAAAAAATCTAGCAAACATTTTAAAATTCTTAAACGTTCATTTGCCTCTGAAGGCTTCACATTAATACTTTATAACAATGCAAAACATTGGAGTGGAGAAATGTAGATTTCGTATAGAAAAAACGTATGTTAAACTTTGAGTTTAGTCATTAGTCTAATAAACCACTGAATTTCCTATTCTTAAAATGAATATTGTTTCCACCACAGAGAATTTATCAGATTCAAAGCATTTAATATGATTAAATGATAACAAATAATA